GTTTTCAAAAATTTCTTAAAGAAAGTTCAAAATGAAAAAGAAACAACCATAGTAGCCATAAGAAGCGACCATGGGGGAGAGTTCGAACGAAATCTGTTTTCAGATTTATGTGACGAACTTGGCATTGATCATAACTTCTCAGCCCCACGTACACCACAACAAAATGGAGTGGTGGAACGTAAAAATAGATGTCTCGAAGATATGGCTAGAAATATGATCAATGAGTCAAAAATCCCTAAGTATTTTTGGGCGGATGCCGTGAGTACCGCGAGCTACGTGTTAAACCGAGCCGTCATTCGACCGATACTCATGAAAACGCCCTATGAACTGTACAAAGGGAGAAAGCCAAACCTTTCCCATCTTCGAGTCTTTGGTTGCAAATGTTTTATTCATAACAATGGTAAAGACAATTTAGGCAAATTTGATGCTAAGTCGGATGAAGGAATTTTTCTGGGTTACTCATTACGTAGCAAGGCCTATAGAGTCTTCAATAAACGTACCTTGACTATCGAGGAGTCTCCTCATATTGTATTTTCCGAAGATAATACTCGCTTGGCGAGAAAGGCTATTTGTGATGATCTTGCAGACTCATTAGAGAGAGTACACCTTGAAGACGATGAAGAAGACACACCATTATACACCAACCCGCAACCACAATCTGAGGAAACACCTCAAGTGATGGTTGAAAATGAGGACCAAGCGGACGGAGAAGATCAAGAGGAAGCCCAGGAACAAGAGGAAACCGAGCTTCCCATCGCTTGGAGAACGCACAGGAACCATCCTCTTGACCAGGTAATCGGCAGCATCAACCGCGGGGTAAGTACTCGTAACTCTCTTAGGGACACCGTAGGACACATGGCTTTTGTATCTCAAATTGAACCTACAACCATTTCCGAAGCAATAAACGATGAACATTGGACCTTCTCTATGCAAGAGGAGCTAAACCAATTCAAACGGAATGACGTTTGGGAATTGGTGCCAAGGCCCGATGATCGTACGATTATTGGTACGAAATGGGTGTTCCGTAACAAACTTGATGAAAATGGAATAATCACTAGAAACAAAGCTAGGCTTGTAGCTAAAGGCTACAATCAAGAAGAAGGCATTGATTTTGAAGAAACGTATGCACCTGTAGCACGTTTAAAAGCTATTCGTTTACTTCTTGCTTTTGCTTCGTCTATGGATTTTAAACTTTATCAAATGGATGTTAAGAGTGCCTTCCTCAATGGTTTTATTCAAGAGGAAGTGTATGTTGACCAGCCCCCGGGGTTTGAGGACTTTGAGTTTCCCGATCACGTCTTCAAACTCAACAAAGCGCTCTACGGTCTTAAACAAGCACCACGTGCTTGGTACGAACGTTTGAGTAAATTTCTTTTGGATAGTGGTTTCCAAAGGGGAAAGGTTGACACTACACTTTTTATCAAGAGTAAAAACAATAACATCCTTTTGGTTCAAGTTTATGTAGACGACATTATATTCGGTGCTACTAACGAGTCTTTGTGCAAGGAATTCTCAACGCTCATGACTAGCGAATTTGAAATGTCAATGATGGGCGAGCTCACATTCTTTTTGGGACTCCAAGTTAAGCAAATGAAAGATGGAACGTTCATTTGCCAAGCTAAATACTGCAAGGAGCTCCTAAAACGGTTTGAAATGGACAACGCCAAAGCCATGGCGACCCCGATGAGCACGTCTGACCATCTTGACAAAGACGAGAAAGGTAAGGAAGTAGA